TGAAATATCATTATTGACCAAATAATGTTCAATTTTAAGGATGTCATGATTATTGTTAATTAGCGAAATTACCAAGCGTGGCATTACAGCGTATCGAAATAGAACATGTAGAATATGTTAATAAAGAATCATTATCGATTTCTTTATGTAATAAAAAAAAGTCTAAATCTAAAGGATAAAAAATTAAAAAAAAACCTGGAAAAGAACATGGCGAAAGAACAAAAGAAGTAATGGACGTAAAAAACTAGGGTATTTAAGTACAATCATACAGCTGCACAGTTTGAACAAATGTAGTGGAAATGTATAGTGATGATTGAGTTTAGATTAGGAAATTTTATAACTATTAACATTCAAAACTTTGATTGCAGTTAATCTAGTATAAAATGCTTTTAATCTTTTTTTTTTTGGCAAATAATAACGCGAAACAATTCTTTTGAATTCAACAGTTTCAAATGTTGAAATGTTCTTTTATCATTGGTGATTCGAAAAAGATTTTATAACAAAATGACATGACGCGATTTTGTAATGAAATTGTATCTATGTAAACGGATAGCAACACAGTTGCATAAATGTAAATGACAGGATAAAAATGGAAACTCACAAAGATGTATAATAAAATAGATATTTACCCGATAATATAAGATTAAACTCCATTTTAAAAGAGACACCGTATGACCAATTGCAGCCAGCTTCAGTTAAAAAAGTAAAAAAAAAAATACCGTTGATACAGTTACGAGAAATATTAATAAAGAAATACACATAAAACCGCGAGTACTTCTGATTATCTAGAATCCGCTTTACTGCTTGCCTGTAGTCTTGATTGCATAATGAACACATACCTGTTAATGGAAGGAAAAAAACGATATCAAAATCCAAATGTCTTTTATGTATTTATACTGTGTGTGTGTAAGTAGTTGTGTATAATTTATAACGCAACGACACAAACAAGGTAGTCAAATACTAAAAAAATAAAATATGCTTCAAAACATGGAATACATCAAGATGTAAGATAAACTTATGTATATACACGTCACAACTTACGGACGGTCTGAATTAAAGGTCAGACGTCTGTTGTATATTACATTTTACTCATTTCATTTGTAGGAATACCATTGCTCAGTTCCAATTACATAAACATGTCAGATACGATTGATTGATTGATTGGTTGGTATTTAACGCCACTTTCGACACTATTGTGCTATTTTGTTTAGTTTTTATTGGTGGAGGAACTCGGAGTGTTAACAATCCTAGTCAATTTAGATTGGAGTTTGAGGTGAGCTAATGTCGCCGAATCGAGATATTTTTGCTAATAGGCTTTGATTTAATAGGAATGTTTAATAAGGCTAAGGCCTTGTTGCATCTAGGTAAATGTTCCGGTAGCACCAACTATTTGGTATTGGCTTATTAAATCACAAAACAACTTATTTAAAATATGCATATTCAATCGTCATATATCGTATTCGCAATATATTAGTTAGCTTTTATAATGTCCAGGAGATTGTAAAAAAGTCGGGCGTTAATTACCAACAAAAGATAATGCATTGTTATACTTATAAATTCTAAGATATTTCTATGATATTTTATGAAAAAGCAAACCTATAGTACGATCTTAAAAATCTCCGATTTTGTGATAAAGACGCCGGATATTCATCCTAGTAATAAAAGACAAAGATAAAATAATTAACTTGGGATAATTTGTTTTCAATAATGAAACAATTTTGTGATATGTACACGCAGTTTTACCTGAAAATGAACTGAATAAAAACATAGTGCAATTGGAGTTGATGCAATTGCGTTACTGTGAATGTAGATTATGTCAAACACAATTCATAGCAAGGACTTCTTATTGTATAAGTAGGAAAACTTACATAATTATGCAAACTTAAAGTTTTCGTTTTCTTATATTTTGCTTCACATGTACTCGATGTAAATTGTCGCAGTAAAATACACCATAGTGATTTAAAAGTTGTGTACGTATTATTGCAGCCATGCTTTTGATACGTAATTATGCTTTAACTTTTACTTCAAAACTAAAAGGTATCAATATGGAACCAATGTATTTTAGACAATATCCAATATTCTATACTGATCGGAATCTCAAAACATAGCAACTTGCAAAACAAATTTTGTGGTAGAAGGGTATAAATACAGCACAAACAACATTTCCCAAAAGACCAAACAGTGAAAAGAATATCTAATCAAAACCCATTTTACTAACAGGTCGAACAACGGATGTTCTTTAACTCTGCTGACTGCCATTGACGATTGCTAAATGAACTGATCACAAGGTGTAACAAAATGGATCTTTATTTCTAATTTAATACCAAGCAGAAAACGATAAACTTGCGGAAAGGATGGTATTCCGCAAACATGAGATGCAAAAATTTGTACACCATATCCGGATTTCGACAATTAATGTCTCTTCAGTGATGTTAGGAATCGAAACGGTATTTGGAAGGCTATATAATTTACGTTAATTTAGGATGGACTCTTAAATTTTGAAGAGTCCAAGTAGAATGAACGGATCGTTTAAACCCGAAGGGAAATATAATACAAGCCCAAACGAAAAAATATAAATAAGTCTAAATTGAAAACAACGTTCAAACCTATGATTGCGTTGGATAAAAAACCGCACTTTTTATACGTATGCATGCAAAACAAATTTCGTGGTAGAGGGGCCTAAATACAGCACAGACAACATTTTCCAAAAGACCAAAAAGTAAAAAAGTATATTTAAACAAAACGCATTTGACTAACAGGTCGAACAACGGATGTTCTTAAATCCTGCTGACTGCCATATATATATATGTCAACAACAAATGTATGTTACACAGAAAGAGGTTAAAAGTTCTGTTTATATATTGACTTGGTCCATATGGAGACAGGAACAATTTTTATTATCTCAAATCCTGAAAAATGCTTTGATTAAGATTACAATTCTAAAGATGCATTTCATTTATTAATTAAGCAATATTTTATTGGTAGTGTGAATATGTCAAACACGGAGTTATGTAGGGAAATTATAACTTGCCAGATGTTTTTTTTTTTTAAACTGAAGGACATTTTGGTCGGATTTAAGGATACTTAAAAATAAAAAAAATGTCTGAGTCAAGAATGTACACGAAGTGTGACAAATTACTTATATATGAATTTAGTAATTTTGAAATAAATTACTACATGTAATTGTATGATTGCATGGCGTTGCATGATTTCATTACATTGTATAATTGCATTACCCACTTAATCATTTCTTAATTTATTAAAAGCGAATTTAGACATTTACTTCACATTTCCTAGTAAATATTATCAGTAAACTGAAGATGAAGTTCAAATGTTTATAAATGCATCATAATGTGTACATTAAAAAGAGACGGATTATACTAAGAGGATATTAATACATTTTAAAGTCGGTTGTTCTGCCAAAAAAGTAAAATGACAAAAAATCAAACAGGTCAACAATGCATTGAGGACTATGGATTGAGCAATATGAATCCGACTAAAACATGTCATGATCACATACAATGTGTGTGCGAAGACTATACAAATCTTACTCTGCTCTCCATGAGCACACATTCTTTGATTTCGCGCAGATGCTCGCTATTAGACTTATATATTGATTAGAAGTTTCTTTAATACTATGAAACAATAATTTTATACATGGCCAATAACATGTATGAAAATATATATATATCTTAAATTAACTTAAGATTGATCAGCGATGGAAGCAAAAAGGTATAACAATAACAAGTTCATAAAATTGAGAATGGAAATAGGGAATGTTTCAAAGAGACAACAACCCGACCAAAGAGCTATTTTATTGGATGGATATGTAAGAACGGACTATTACCGTAGTTGAAGAATAAGGCTAGACATCAATTAGTTTTCATCGATGAAAGTGCAAGTGTATATGTTATGCCAGACTATGTTCCACGCTGTATACTGCACGAATTGTTGAATGATATAAAGAAAATCTGCTTCTGTACACACACATATATTTGTTTCCATTAAAAGTAAAAGTACCAAATATTGGTTAAGTACTCACTTATCAATATATAACTCGTTGCTTGTTTTTTTATATATGTCTTAATGTTTTCACAGCATCAGTTCAGGAATCGCATCACACGATTTGAAATTCATTTATTTACGTAACCGTGACCACAAATAACTAGTTGAGAATCAGATAGAAGCATTTGTGAACTACTATTTTAACCTTAATGCAACAAAATATATATACAAAACCGTAGTTTTATTAAAGCAAGCTAAATTGGTATTTGAATGCATTGGCCATTATTTGAAACGATGCTGTGTAATTTCATCGTGATATCGATCAAACGCGATAAACTGAACATTGACATTTGTTTGTTTGAGGTGATAAAATGTCGCCTAATGAAAATAGACTTGATAATAGGCTTGGATTAACTAGTCATTTATTACATATCTTACACCATTTTGTATCTATATAAATTTTCCGGTAGCATCAGCTGGTGAACTGTATGATAATATTACAAGACAACTTATTGGAAATAATCCTATTTAATTGTGATTTTTTTCGTTTGCATATATGAATTAGCTTATATAATGTCCAGAAGATGATAATTTCAATAAAACAAAAGTCGCTCCGAGTTTACCAGCACAAGGTAATGTATCATCATACTATATCAGAATCAATCGTAAATTTTAAGATAATTCCTTGATATTTTATAAAAAGACATTTATGCCGTTGACATTTCCTGCCATTACGATCGTTAAAATATCGGTATTTGTGATTCAGCTGCCGGATATTCACCATAGTAAAAAAGTTGAAATCATTGACCTGGGAAAATTTGTTTTCAATAAGGAAAACATTATCGGGATATGTAGATGCAGGATTGAATCATAGTAAACATATGATACAACTGGATTAGACGAAATGACAGTGTTGTGAATGCAACTCATCAGTTTTATAAAGGTGTGAGATTATTTAAACAACATTGTGAATTAGATAGCTGATTTAATAAACGACATTTCATAATTTTGTAATGCACTAGGAGATGTCAATGTTGACCAGGAAGGGAACGATGGTTCGTAAGAATCGAGGATCTATAAAACGACAATCATTGCGGAAACATGGAAGTGGATCCATAACAAGGAAACAACAAAAGCAAACATCGGAAATGCCCGAATCTCCGCGTGTAATTGCTGTAAAAAAACAAGAATTTCAATATCCTCAGTCGTCGCCGACAAGGAGTGTTGCAAGCACTATTGTTGTAAGTATTTATTTTTTCAGCACTATCGTTGAAGTTATTTGTTTTGAAAGAACGGTTTTCGTGAGTACTTATTTTGCAAACACCAAGTCCGTAAGAGACTATTCTTCAAGAACATTTGTCGTCAATTTCTACTTTGATGTAAATCTTCAAAATAGTTCATCCTAATCTAAGGAATGGTTTATTTTTCGTGTTTTACTTTTTGAATTAACTGGTGTCTTCATTGTACAAGGTCAAAGTTTGCGAAATAACAGTAAAATATTTTAAAACACGCCAATTTAATCTTTTAACAATCGTGTGTATTTACCATAAGAATTGAAGACCCGTTTGCTTACAACATGCAATTGGTTTATTTAATTGTTTGTTTTATTTTCTATTTTATGCGCAGACGTATAAGTTTGCAATTAATTATTGGTTTATACATAAATACGATAAGTTGATATCTAGTATACATTTCTAGAAATTAATGTTTTGATTGGTCTCATAGATTGGAAATATCTTTGGATTCACAAACATTGCAGTTTTGAGTTGGCGCTTTTAATTCACACAAAAGCTTTGTGTGCTATTTGTTCATTATATTGAAGTGTTCAATTCATTTCTTGTTGCGACATATTTTTTTCATTTCATGCTATTTCTAATTGTGCATCATGTGCAAAGCGTGCGCTTGTTTGTCCATACAAAACGTATGGTTTTCATTATCCTATAGGAACCACGAAAATTGATGCTATATATGTTCCTGTTTCGTCTCGTTGAAGAGGTAAGGAACATTATGTTCCAGATTTTAGACTAGAAATATTAGAACATTCCTGGCCTTACTCGATTCCGATTGTTTTCACTATAAGATTTGCTTTTTTTTTCATGAACTGCTGATATTTAAATATGCTTGATTTCTTTCCCGTTATAACAAATACAACTATCGAGCTTTGAATACGAGTATGCAGGTACATTCTTTCTCATGTATTATATTATACTGTTTTAATGTTCAAATTTCATTAAAAAAAACAATTGTTATGTTACTTAATTGCACTCAAATCTGAATTGAATCAATTTTTATTTTTTTTATTTTCAAAATTTTTGCATTCTGCATTTAATAGTTTCTATTTTGCAAAACAAATTTCTAATCTTTAAATACTCAAAATTCATGTCGATAATATAGATTGATAATTTAGCAGGTTCTCTTTATTCTATAAAATATTGAAAAATAGGGTAAACAATCGTGACGTTGTTATCACAGATAATATATATTTCCGTTAAATATGAAATATTTTCATTTTAAAAGCAAAGTGAATATTACTCTAACATAGGTACATGTAAGTGGTATAAATATTGAAATGGCATTTCAGTATGAAATGTCTCAGAGAAGTTAAACCCGTCATGCGGATAAATTATTTAATGCTTAATTGATCGCAAAATAAATATTTCTTATCCACACGTATAAGAAGGGTATTAGTTAGGAAGAAATACATGAATAAGTATCAAATATAATCTTGAGCTAAAAATTTGAAAATTCTCATCAAATCATTTAAACTAAGAAATTAGATTGATGATGTCGAATATCTGATAAACACAAACGTGGTACCTATCATAGATAACAAGGGAATAAAACCATATGAAAGTTTTGATGTATCAATGGTGCTGTATGCTGTGGCATCACAATGTTATTCATTCAGACTTCGATGAAAGTATCATATACATGTAAATTGGTTTCCTTGTTTGCCAAATACAAAGGGTAAATTTTGTTTAATCGTAATTCAACAAACCTGTTGAACTGTACAAACGAGTTATTTGTATCTATAAACCTTGGCTAATTTTAACTGAACTTGCTGGCATAAAACATTCCGCTTATAAATACTTTTCATTTTTAAATTTAAAAAAAAAACAGCTGTAATAAGTTGTTTCAATTTGCAATTCAATATTCGATGAAAACACTCTGAATAAAGAAGATGCCATTTTTTTTTTAGAAATTTTGAAATATAGAGGAATCATATCGATAACAACTGAACCTATAATAATTACATTATTATTTTACTCATCGGAAACCAACATTTCAATATCTTTAAACTGTTATGTTATACATTTTTCCTGTCATTTAACGTCAGCAATTGTGAATAATGATTGATGGAATTTAACATGCAGCGGCAAATAATTATTTCAAATTGAAAACGAGCATGATTATAGATGTATAATTAATGTATTAACGTGCTTGCTTTGAACCAACTCACATACTTTTAGTATGATATATAGCGGCCTATTTCTAGAAAAAACTGAGGACGTGAACATATGTCATCCATCAAAAGACGTACAATTCAGACTTCAACTCGTGCAGATCTCATAAATGTTGTTTGGAAGTACTTATAGCAGCTTATAGCACATGTAGTGTACCCATACATTAGATCATATGTGTTTCACATCTATATGTTGCATGTATACCTGTTCAGCAAAAATGCATCTAATTTAACTATGTTTAAATGTTACCAGATGTATTCATTTCTTCATTGATTGCAATATGTATTGCAAAGCATTCATTTTTTATTTCATGTGACAACTGACCTCGCGTAGCATACTTGAAGTAATCAAACTCGATTTAAATCGAAAATTGTGAAATAAATAGATATGTCTTCAAGTCATTAAATTTTTTTAAAAATAGTCCTTATAGTATAATAAATTCAAATAGAAGCAAACGTTTTATTTTTGTCTACATGAACCATAGATCTGCATAGATAATGATACTCTATTTAATGATTGCAATGTTTTTTGTATGCCATTACTCATAAATACACCACACTTTAATGTAAGTGACAAGACCTCATGAATTGTCGCCAAGGAATCCAACCACTGGGAATAAAGTAGACCCTTTCTAAATACGTGTTTAAGTAAAAAAAAAAAATATATAACTAATTTAAACTTCTATTACTCAGTCAGGAACATTATATATATTTAGTTATATTATTTCTATTTGATATTATATCATGTTGTTATACCATTCGTAACCACCTCATTGTAAATATAACATATCAAAGCATTATAAGACATTTTTATTAACAACGTCTTTGAGAAAGCCTTTAATCCTTAATTTACAATACTATTGCGTTTAGTTTCATTTCTATTTTACAAAACTTAATACACAGAAGGAATACGGGTAACAGTAATACATTGTTCCCAATTATCAATTATATTACTTACATCGACTTCACAAGATGGAACACATATATCAGAACAATTAAGAACAAACGCATAATTACATACAGCATTGTATAGAAAGAGAAACACGACAGAAAAGTGGGGAAACAATTTATCTCCAGTGTCTTATAAAGATAACTTTGTGTATTGAAAACTATTTTGTTATCGCTTGCTGACCAAACAGTGACAGCTGTTGTATCATAATTATGAGAAACATTTTGCAGTAGAACAATAGGTACTGTTTGCATGGATATGCCGAATGGGACAAAGGACGGGCAGTCCTTATAAATAGACTCATCACAGATATCAGGATCAACATTTTGAACACCAGACGCGCGTTTCGTGTACAAAAAATTCATTAGTCACTATCGCTCGAAAATAAAAGTTAAAAAGGCAAAATATTATACGAAGTTGAAGAGAATTGTGGACTCACAGTTCAAGAAAATATTTTGAATAGGAGCAGAGATTTGGCCTTGCAACTGGCCCATTCCTTAATGTACAGAAAACATGGCCTTCTCAACACACGGTATATGTTTTAACATCTTCAGTGCTACCGGACATTGTTGCAATTTTATACATCCCACACAAGAACAAGACGCTCGTGTTTTGCAAGACTTGTATTGTCGATCTAAAGAAGTCCAGGTAGGCATATGTTTATACCCCAGTCACTATTACGATCGCAAGGCCATGGAACAAATTCTTTATAATAAATGTGTCATTAAGCTGACAACAGCGAGCTGTGGTGATGTTGTATAAAGTTGCTCGTGTCTTTCCATCTGATAATTTTTAACCCATAGATCATCAATGCAATCAGTTGTTTGCTTTATTTTTAGATTTGTAGCTAAATATTTTTAGAAAATGATAGTAACGATGTATTCCAATATTAGACATGTCGATGTCTTCTTAGAAGGTATATTTTACATAATCAGTTCATAATTTTGCCTTTTGAGACCATTTGCTGCGCATAAAGACCACACTTATTCCATGAACCTTAAATAATATTGCTGTGGACTGTATGTCAAAACGTCTGTTGGAACAAATTTAATTATATAACGATCGTTTACTAGTCACGTCCTCAGGTTGAATGCGATGCAGAACTAATAAAATACTACCAAACAGTAATTGGCTGTCTTCTTTCTTCACGTCCTGACTGATTGCAGGTTTATCGTGATTAATCACAGCTATGACTAAATATTTTCAGGACTCATAGACGCTTGTACTTTTGGATGATTGTTTGTTGATACAAAGGTGATCTTATAACAGATGCTATAGAAATACAGCAAGATGTAAATGCTGTCAAGAATAAACAAAAACAATTGAATTCACCCAAACGTCTAAACATGTTACGATAAAGCATTTTATTAAACATTTGTGTATTTATGCCATGACTTGGTACTGTGTTCTTAGTTTATCCTACTACAAAAATAGGTGCATGTATAAAGTGCACACATCACGTGTTTTTGTACTGCTTTTCATCTCGACTATTAATATACAAGAAGGCGATGTGATATGATTGGCAATAACACAACTAGCACTGACTTGAATCATAGGTCAGATTACTGCCTTCAACAATGAGCAAAATACCGTATTCTAGAAAGAAATTTTTCTGTGTTTTTGGGAATGATTTCCCAATCATTATTCGAAACACACAACAGTAGTAGTCTCGCAACTAAAGAGTGAAGTTTTTGGAACAGTCACCAGTCGGGTCATCATGGTCATACAAAACGCTTTACAATAGGTATTTTCTGTGTTTGTGCTAGGATTGTGGTTTGCAGTAAACATAATAAATCCGGATATGTTGATTTGTGTTCCTGCGATATCTA